ACTGCTCTACATGATCTGCTACTCGGTCCTCTGAGATGCTCAGATCCAGCAGCTCTGGGCTGTTGATCACCACCGTTGGTTTCCACATGCAGCGTCCTCTGACTCTCACACAGCAGTCTGCTTCCTCTATAAACACTTTCTCTCCCAGGATGATGTTCCCCACCTGAGACCTCTGGGACCAGTTGTTCCCCAGTAGAACCAGCCGGAGCTCAGACACTGGGAAGGAAAACCACCAGAAAAACGTCAAACTTTATACCAGTTATCTAATGACTGGTGCAAAACGCTTCATTAATGACGTTGATGATGATCAATGACTTCCCTGAAAATTTAAATTGATCCGAATGGATTTTTATGTTGAGACAAAAACTGAAGATTTTTAATGGAAATGAGAGAACATTTAAAACATGGTGCGAAAATATTCCTTTAAACTAAAGTTCCTTTCCTTTGACTTAATTGACTAAAGACATTATGAGTCGTCATCCAAACACTTGAAGATCATGTTTCACAACTCGTCTGTCCAACCAGAGGTCATAGGTCATGAGAGACTCTGGTGATGATGAGAGTGGAGGTCAACCCGTCTATAAGCTGGTCAGTCATTTTACATCAGCAGTTCTGACTGTTGCTCACATTTCATCAGTATATTTATATCATATTACAGCATAATGCCAATGGTGGGTCTATGGGGGCTTCCAGCCAATCAGAGTCCAGACTCACCTGCAGATCAAACCTCTACACCTTCAGAATTGGAAATACCTGAACAGATGATTATCATTAAGTGAAAAATAAGATATTTCTATTATATCTCCACTGATATTTTTATTCTTAATGATGAGTAGAACAGTCAATCTTTATTTGTATTTTCCATAAAGTTTCACCAGTTATTAAAAACCAGTCATTTAAATGAGCGTCTCATCTCAGATGAACTTACTGTTTGGTGGAAGATTTAAGCTGCTGCTTCGCTGCTGCTGCCCAACTGGAAATTAATCAGAACAAACGTGGAGGTCAGAGTTCAGTCGATACGATTCAGAAACATTAAGACTCATATTTAGTTGATTCTACAAACTGAATACTCTCCATGAAAATAACTCAATTAATCTCATGTGAGATTAATTGAACTCATCGAGATTAAACTCGATGAAGAACTGAACTGGCAGATTTCTTTTGTCTTTATTCAGATTTTTATTTCTAGACTAAATCCACATGAAGCAGAATCTGTAAATTAAAGTTACTGAGTAAAAACCTCATTTATAGGCTTTAAAGTCAAATTTTAAATCAATAATACCAATAAGCACGTTTACAACTAACAGTAAAATCTTTAATACAGATATTGATCTGTAAAACCAATATAAGAAACAAAATGAACGCAAGCATCTGTAAAGTTAAACCACAGAGAAAAAATAATCCAGTTCATAGCAAAAAAAATTATGAGGATTATAATTATAATTATTTAATAGGATAAATTAATAATTCAGATTTTCTTATTAAAAATTTTTTTATCAGGATGTAGAAATATTAAAGCAGAATGGTCTCATTCAACTGCATCTTAATTTTGATAAATAATTAAAACTTTTCAACAGAACCACTAGAGGGCAGCAGCGGCTGAATGATCCTGCTTCCTGAAAATGTTACTCACCTGAAGCTGGTGTTGCCATGACGTCAGAGAGCAGAAAACTGACCAGGTTCCAGTTTTTTTTGATTTTAAATCATCTGCAAATGAAAAACTTTCTAATTATGAGTTCATTGTCTGAGAAAATGACTCAAAGCTCCAGGAAACATGAATGTTTCTGTACTTCCTGGTCTGAGAGCAGAGTGGCTGAGAGGGAAGCATCTGAATATTAAACAGAATTATATCTAGATGTAAAGATAAATTATCTATATGTCTACAGATATAAACATCTAATAAAAGGCTCAAACAAAGTATCGGGTCGGTGTTCAGGAGGTTCTGGGCCCAGAACGGGTGGAGCCAATTCAAAATGGAGGCAGAGAATAAATATCTGGATTCCTTCCTGCTGCTTCACCAACCTGATCCAATCTGAGCTGAAAACCTGATGATTTTGTTTCTGAATCATTAAAAGAACCAAACAGTGATCAGCTAATAGTTTGCTCACCTTCAGTCTGTTGGTGTCGATCCGTCCTGAAGGTTCTGGAGATCTATTAGATCCACCTGCTGAGAAATCCTGCTGGAGGGAGTTAGACTGGGTTTAATCCAGAATTAAACTGGGTTTAATCCAGGAGTCAAACTGGGTTTAATCCAGGAGTTAAACTGGGTTTAGATCTCAGAGTCTAGATCGGACTCTGAGACTAAACCCAGTATACAAACATGGTGTTTGTATACTGGACTCATTCAAAGGAATGTGACTTGGAGGGAGGCTAATGATAAGGTGGCGATCATAATTGTGGTCCTCATTTTCTTCTTTTTCTTTAATTTAGTTCCTTTCCCTCACAGCTGAAAAAGAAAGTTAAAAACTCAGACGCTGCATTTCCTCTTTTTCTGCTGCAGAGAAACAGGCGGAGCCAAATGTTTCCACATGCAGCAGATTTAAAAAAATAAAACTGAAACAGACTATTATATATGTTTCAGTAGCATGTATTAACTGTTTTAGTTTAAAGCATTAAAACATGTAAATGCTCTAAAATGCAGATTTATCTTTTGTTAATCTGTATCAATCATTTTCCCCTAAATAATCCCAGATGTCAGAGTTCAGATGGGAATATTTCTCCTCAAACATTTCAAATGAAAAGAGAATAAAACTGTGATCAAATATTAAGTATCTGTAAATCATAATGTATGTCAGTGAATCAGTGTTTGTGTTCCTGCCGACTCGCCTCACTGTCTCTAAATCTACTTAACAGAAATAAATTGATTGATTGAAAAACCTGACAAAAAATTCTTTACAAATATAATTTTCTACATGAACAGATTCTGATCTATTGATGCACAAACTAATTTTTACAACATATTTATGACTGAGATTTGTTCTAATAATCTGGCGTTTAATTATGAATTAAACCAGAAACTAAACATCATTCTGAATGTTCACAGATAATTAAATGGTTGTTGGTTCAATTCCTCTCTGTGTCCAGGGGAAAGAAGCTTCACTCACCTGACCTGCTGGTGGGGGTCAAAGGTCACGGCGGTGCTGGTGCATGGCAGCCTGGCCTCTGTCAGGCTGAGGCTTTGGAGTCCTCTGGGCTTGATAAGGCGCGATGCAAATACAGAATCATTTACCAGCCAGGGATGAAGAAATGAGGCCAGAAACAAAACATTCATGTAAAATATCATTTTATTCTAAACTTTAAAAGCCAGTTATCAGAATATAAAAATAACTTCAGTTTCAGATATTAATATAAATTTAATTCAGTTAAACTTTGCAGCCAGCAGGTGGATCTTATGCCTGTAGATCCAGATGTGGAGCTGCTGTTATTATTTCAGTAAAACTCAGTGATTCACACGACGCCCTGAAGTTAAAATGATGAAAACTTCTCTGCATTAATAAATGGAGGCATGATTTTAAAATAGTTCTTAATCTTTATTAAAACATTTTGTTGATTTAAAAGAACAAGAAGAAAAACAGTAGAAATATTTTAATGGTAAATATTTTATTGTTTCTGTTTATGCACCTTTTTAATATTTGGTCACTTTGCAACTGAAATACATTCTGTAACCTTCAATAAGCTTTTAGAATAACTGATTTAATATTAAATGATGTGTTTTCTTATAAAACCCAGACAAGGCTGAGGCCTTTGATTAGGCCATTTCAGTCCCTTAATGTTCTTCTACTTTCTCTACAGATCAGTTTTGTCTTGTTGAAACATTAAAATGAACCTCAGGTTTTAATTTAGATGAATTTGGACTCGGTTTCCATTTTTTTATCCTTTACATGACACGTTCATCCTTAACGCTAAATCACTTTTATAATTTTCTTTATAGTAGAATAAATAAAGCAGTTTTATACTTTAGACTTTATTAACTGGCTGATTACTTCAATTTACTAATGTATTATAATATTATATTTATTACATTAATAAATATCTGCATCAGCTTTGAAGATGCAGGACTAAATCTAATATTGTTCAGTTTGTGACATTTATTTACATCTTTTATGACACAAAGTGATGAATTGCAGCTCTTTGAAGTCCAGCATCAGCAGCTTCATTGCAACACCGCCACCTAGTGGCAAACAGAAAATAACAACCAGAAAACAACATTTTAAGCTGAGTGACGCTGAACTTCCTCCGTCTGGACGCTAGGTGGAGACAAACTCTCTCTGCCAGAGTTTCCAGTTTTCTTCTTCTTTGCCGTGTGGCACTCTTTTGTAGTTCTTCTCTGTTTCTTCTTGCTTGGTTCATGTTTACAGGTAATTAGTTTATTTATCATCTATTTGTTACCTTTATTGTTATATTTCATGGTGAGAAAGAAGAAGCATCTGATCTCCACTGCTGGTTTCATTTTGTCTCCACATTACACACGATATTAAATGTTATTATTGCACACAATACTCGTAACAACCTGGGAATGTGACATTTATTTTTTTAAAGTAATATTTTATGAACATACACATTTTTTTCTGCATTTCTCTAAGACAAAGTATTGAAGTCATGATAAGAAAAAAGTTAGATTAAATTAGGAGATTAAAGTCATAAAATTACCAGAGTAAAGTTGTAATATTATGACTTATTCTTTCTTATAATACAATAAAATAATATTATTTTATTATTTTGACTTTATTTTTCTAATGTATTGACTTCATAATAATATGACTTTGTCTTTGTAATTTAATTAATTTTGTGTTCTTATTGTGGCCCTTTTTGTTAATAAAAATCAAGCCTACATGTTGTTTTCCTTCCACTTAACTTTGTGTTGCTTTGTGTTGGTCTGACACAAAACACTGAACTTTATTGCTTTAAAGTGACAGACTGTGAGTAAATGCGTCTGCATCAAGAAGTCGACTCTTTAAAATATCATTTATTAAAACATGCAGCCACTCAGACGTTTAATATCATGTTTAAGCCAAATTTATTGAAGCAGCGATGGAAGAAAACACTGGGAGCAAAAACACTGGGAGCTCATCCGTTCACAGCCCAGCTGGCTCGTGTGTGTACAGGCAAACACACACTCCACAGCAGAAAACACACACACACACACACACACACACACACACACACACACACACACACACACACACACACACACACACACAGAAATCTGACTTCAGTTCTTTCTTAACAGAAATAAAAAGGCACAGAGGGAAAACCTGGTTTCTGTTCTTTATCACCATAAAGGGAATATTAAAGTTTGAGTCAGCTTCCTGTAAAATATCAAGAAATTATTTTAAATGATTAAATTAAACATCATAAATGTTTTATATAAAAAGCAAGAAAAAACATGCAGATAAAAAGTCTTTGTGTAATGAAGGAAAGTTGGGTTTTTTTTTGTTTTTTTGTTCTTTGAAATAAAAGATTTGAAGAAAATATTTGTGAACTGTGAGAAAACGTTCATATTTCCCTGGGACTAAGAAAAAACTAGATTCAATAATAGTTTTTAAGCTTTGTATTAATCTTCATTTCTGCCATAAAAGTTTTTCATTTGCAGTCTAAATAATGAGCTTCCATCAGTAAAAGCCGTGAATATAAAACCTGTGAGGGAAGAAGAAGAAGAAGAAAAAGAAGAAGAAGGAGAAGCAGGAAACCAGTAAGTCCAGCTGTGAGGTAATACAGAACCCATGAGAGGAACCAGAACAGAGTCCAGTAAGAACCGGGCCTCTGCTGTGGAACCGTGTCGCCTCTCTGCTTCAGGTGTTTGCTTATGAATGAATATTCTGGGTCTCATGTAAACAAAGTGTAACTTTAACTTCATGAACTTCGACCTTTGACTTTTTCTTCAGGCTCATTTGAAGGATTTTTCTCAATACCTGCAGAAACAAACAGAAAACAAAAGTTACCAGGTTACAGTTTAACCTAAATATTTAAACAGCAAGTAAAATATTTAGCTCTAAACTAAATATTTAAGTAAAAACCTAACAATATATATGTATAGATTATTAATACACATCAGTAATCTAAACATGCATCCTCAGATGTGCAGCTGAAGTCAAGCAGATGTTTCTGGAGGTTCCAGAGTTTTGGAGGTTAATCTCAGTTTAGATAATTCCTGAACTGCAGGTTCAGTTTTACCCCGTCAGGCTGCATCCAGAGATGTGTGCCGCGTTGCCCGTGTAGTGAACGTCACAGCGAGCCACGTTGTTGTTGAAGTTGGACTCTGGAACCTGCTGCCTGGGATTCACCGTCACCTGCAGGAGGACAGGAACGCTGACAGGTTTGTCTTCTGGACATGAGAGGTTCACAGGCTGGACTTTAATCTCAGGAGGGATTTTCATCCGGACCTTCAGGATGTATTTTCCAGGCGAGACGTCGGTGATGTCGATCCACTGGCAGTCGATGTCGGCGCTGTAGGTATCGTAACATCCGGGACTCAAACCCTGAACAGCAGCAAAAACAACTTCTTTATCATTTTTATAATTTTTTACAACGTTTCTTCATTTACAGTTTGAGCAGGTGGGTCTTATTTTGCTGCCTTTAGAGGGCGCCACAGTGATTCACCATCCATCACATCCATGAACTTTGACCTGTCTGGTGATGACACTGTCTTGCTTTAACTCTGCTTCTTTCCTCCACCTGTACAGCTGTTGGGTACAGCTAGCTAACAGCTAACTAAACAGCTAGCTAGACAGCTAACTAAACAGCTAGCTAGACAGCTAACTAAACAGCTAGCTAGACAGCTAATTAAACAGCTAGCTAAACAGCTAATTAAACAGCTAACTAGAAAGCTAACTAAACAGCTAACTAGACAGCTAGCTAAACAGCTAACTAAACAGCTAGCTACACCAACGCAGTATATAGTGGAAGCTAATGCTACAGCACTAACTTCAATTAAAAGACTACAAACCCTGGAACTCCACTTTAATTTTTAATATATTTCTAACCTACATGTTCAATAACTGCCATTGTATTTCTGTCTGGATCTTCATCTGTTTCAGTTTGTTCCTGAATGTTTCTTGTCTGAATCAGGAGTGTTGATCAGGTGTGTGTACCTGTGTGTGTGAGGTGCAGGCGTAGCGGCGGTAGTATCCCGGGTCGCAGGACGTGTCCTCCAGGCAGAAGCTGGCCTTGTGGCCCTCGGCGACGTGGCTGTGGGTCCGAGCGTCCAGCAGCTCGTACAGGCTGAACTCATCCATGCTGTGAAAGTGACTGAACAAACACGACAGAATTAAAATGAAGATAAAATCATTAAATATTCCAGAAAGATGATAAACCTTGTTAGTAAAATAGCTTCATTTTTCTGCTGCAATCACTTCTGGAGTTCCTCAGGGTGCAGAGTGTTTTATAATAATAATAATGATAACTAATTCATTATTAGTCATATTCTATTTCATCTAACAATGACATATTGATTCTGGTTTTATGATTAATACATTAATTTAATCAAATTTGATTATTTTCTGTTCCTTGTTTCTTTAAATATTTAGGAACATGTTCAACTCTCGGTTGTAGTTGTGCTCCAAATGTGATTAAATTGAGTAATTTCAGAATATTTATTTTACTACCTAGTGATTAGAACAATGTTTTAAATGAAAGTGATGTTAGCAATGAGGCTAAACATCCTTCTTTATATATTTTTGCATGAATGTACTCAGATTTTCCTCAGTTTATGGTGGAATATAACGATATGTTCTCATTAATAGATGAATTTCAGGATAATAACTCATGGCTTGCAGTTTGTTGGCTTTGCCCTCAGCCTCCATGCGATCAGCTGTAAAGGTGAAAGATCTGCGTACTTGTGGCAGCTGTGCCACTCCCAGGCGTATCGGGGTCTGCTGGGCAGGAAGTCGGCCGTCCCCTGATTCTTCACCCGCTGAGTGAACCGCAGCAAAACTCTGGTGTCATAATCTGCAGCGTAGCGAGCCGAGCTGGAAAACAGGGATTATGGAAAGGACAAAGGCACAACCTTTAAAAACATAAAGGACAAAATAAATCTCATTTTGAGTTTTATTGTAAAGCAGAATGTCATGTCTTCACTTTTCTGTGGTGGAAACATGAATTGGCTTCAGATGGATCAGCAGCCATCAGCTGTTGATGTGATGAGAATGCATAGAAACATTCAGAATAATATCCCAGAGCAAATTAAAGATGGCTTCTTAACTCCACATTAAATCTGATTCAACATGCTGTAACTCATATTAAAGCAGAAGAAGAAGCTGATGATGGCAGAAAAGCAGCAACTGGTTTATATTTATGATCGTAGTTTTCTGACCTTTAAAAAGTTGAATCTGTTGATTCTGAGTTTGTTTGAGTTCAGTCTTTGTCTGAAACGTCTCATATTGCAGTGAATATTGTAAACGGTGCAGCTGTCATTCATCCCTCCGTCACAGCAGAGCAAAAACAGACAGAAACTGATTTTCAGGCTTTGGCAGAATATCAGCTGATCTCCCTAAACGAGGGAAACTGATTTATCCTGATTTATGAACCAGGTGATGCTGCACAGATCTGCAGCGGTTTGCAGAACCTTGAAGGATCCTGAAGTTGAACAGTTTGCTCTCTACTTCCTGGTAGACTAGCTGCTTCATTAGCAAAACTTTGTCAATATGCTGCTAAAGTAAAAAAAACACAATTATAAGTTGCTGTTTTTCCATTAAGAAACAGAATTAAAATCAAACTAAATAAGTTTGTTCACATAATAAGTCAGAAAAAGCCAAACCATCGTCGTTAATCTCTGATTCGTTAACATTCAGGTTGAGGTGAAAAGCAGGTTGTGAAATTCAGACGTTCACATCTTCACTACTAAAACTTGACATGACAGGAAGAGGAAGAGGAAGCGTACGAGGCGAGGCAGTTCTCCTCAGCAGCGCAGCGCAGGTTGTACATGGGCGACTGCTGGACGTAGGAGGCGATCTGGATGTAATACGGATCCGGAACCAGATCCGGCAGACCTGCAGCCAGGAGGAAGAGTTCAGGTCAGGAACATTTCCTTTAAAATGTCTGGATCTACAGAAGCTTTTAAACGCTTTGAGTCAGAAAGAGAAACGACTGAAGGAAAATTACTTCAGTTAATAACTATAAAAACTCATCTGATGATGGAAACATGTTAATATTCACTGATCTCTGTTTAAACGACAATCTGACTTTTTAAATAAAATCTGTGTTTCTTTCTTTCTGTTTTTGTTCAGTTCCACCTTCTCTGCTGTTCTGGTTCTGGTTCTGGTTCTGGTTCTGGTTCTAGAGATTGGGTCGGAAAGATTGCAATAACAGCTCTGTAACCAACAGAGGGCGCTGTGAATCTCAATATTTCATTATGAATTATACAAGTTAAAGCTTAAAATATATAATTTAGAAAACAGCATCTTTTCTTCTGCAGTTGAGAACCAGAGCAGCAGCTGAAACATTTAACGTGTTTGATCAAATCAATATAAATATTATTTTTCTCTGAGATTTATTAACCAGAACCAGAAGAAACTAAAAAGTCAAAACTTTAAGCTGCTGGGATCTGGAATAAAAACTGAACAAGTTTCACTTCAGAGATTCAAACTGTTTATTTTCTTTCCACCTGATTCTGATTAAACCTGAGAGGCAACTGGACCAGAACCGAAGGTTAGACCAGAACCAGAACCAGAACCTCAGGATCCAGCAGAACAAAACCTGGTTTATGATTTTAACTTCAAGGTTTAAAACAAAAAGTTAAATCTTTGTTTACATCCAACGCAGATTCATCGATGCTGGTTCTGACCCGAGCTGGAGTGTGTGTGTGTGTGTGTGTGTGTGTGTGTGTGTGTGTGTGTGTGTGTGTGAGTGTGTGTGTGTGTGTGTCTGTCTGTGTGTGTGTGTGTGTGTATGTGCGTGTGTCTGTGTGTGTGTGTGTGTGTGTGTGTGTTTTCTGGAGCCTTCATGGTTTTTCTCCCGGGTCCAACAGAACCTGAACTTCTCATCTGTTCTGATGGGTTTTTCTCTTCATGTTTGATCAAATTATTTCCAATCATTTGATTTGTTGGAAAATCAAATTGTTGTTGCTGTGAATCTCAGGATGATTTTCTCTCCCCTGCTGCTCTGATTCCTGCTGCCCCTTACATTCCTCATATTTGCTCATTTTGAAATCTGATGACTCATCATGTCTCATCATTTTGATGCTGTTGTTCAGGACCAGAAGCTGAGATGAGGATAAATGAGTGTTTTCCTGCAGGAGGTTGTGAAGTCAGACCTTCTCTCTGTCCTGCAGCTGATTGGTTCTGAGTTTAAATTAATAAAAGCAGGAATTTTAACTTTCATCAATTTCATGAGAAATGAAAATCCACAGAAGACAGAAACTTGACTTATTAACCAGTTTTTTCCTGAATTAAACAAAGTCACATGCATCGATCAGCAGACAGAAAGGTTCTGACCGTTCTGGTGGTAGCGGGTTCCGTATCCGGGCCGGGCCTGGGCCTGCGGTCTGGGTCTGTGGTACGTGTCAAAGTAGTTGTAGTAGGGGTCGTAGCCGTGGCGCTTGTAGGGGTTATAGGGGTCATCTCCGACCATCCCGTCCTCCCTGTTGGCCGGAGCAGAGCCGCCTTCCCCCGCGGCCCGCGGCTGCTGGCGCGCCATGACGCGGAGCTGCGCGGAGCCGCTGGCGGCGGGGACCCGCGGCGCCCCCCGGGACGCGGCGCCCGCCGCCGTGTCGTTGGCGCTGCTGAGGACCAGGACCGGGTCGCTGCGGCGCGGGGAGCCGCTCTGCCGCCTCCCGGTGGGTCTGTACTGGGCCCCGCGGCTCAGGATGCTGAAGACCTGCCCGTTGTGCTGCCATGTCAACCCCCTGCGGAGCGCATCGGACTCAGCCGCTTCCTGAGCGCAAACTGCGTCCAGAAAGCAGCAGAGGAAGCAAACATGCGCAAAGGACAGCGCCAGGCGCGCAAAGGAGCGCAGCTTCATGGTGCAATAAATTAGGAGCCGCTGCTTTCCGCTCAGCTGCTGATCTGAGGAGGTTTGGAGCTCCGCTGCTCCAACCTCTGATGGAGGAGGAGTGAGAGAGAAGAGCTTCTCCACCTCCTGCAGGAACAGGAAGGTTCGACTCCTCGCGTCTCATTGGCTGAGAATGAGCCAGACTCTTTCATAATGATGCTGCAGCTGCTTGGTGCTGCTGCTGCTGCTGCAGGCGTCACACAATTGCAGTTCTGCTGCAGCCAAACCAAAGTGCAGCTGCTGCAGCTCAAAGCTGCATCATTTTATCTGGAATAATGAATCAAGATTTTGTCAAATAATTTTTTATGATCTCAAAACCAAACATGAGCGCCTCAGTAAAAGCGTCCTGAGTTTTTCCAGAGGTTTCAGCTTGTTGAGGTGATTGGAGTTGAAATCAGAGTTTTGGTCCATTGTGAGGTGTGAAGCTCTGCCTGTTTGTCTCTAATTACAGCAACTCAGTGGTCAGAACTGAGGCTGAAACTATTCTGAGGTTTCACTTCTGACTCAGAGTCTCTTCAAACTGAAAACTTCTCTGCTGACTTGATTTCAGATTATTTATCAGATGTTGACACGCAGCGCATCGCAGTGACGGAGAGTCTCTGTTATTCTGTCTGAGCCGTCTGGAGATGGACCAACTCAAAGTGATGCTCAGTGAAGAACGAGAAGGAAAATGATGCATTGAGGTTTTTTTAAAAACAGAAAAATGTTTTTGTATTTAACTCCTTTAATAAATTATTTGTAAAATTTTGGTTTGAATTAAATTTGAAAGTTCTTGATGCCAGTTTTGCACATTTAGAGCTGAAAAATGTAAAGACATCGGCATAAAGAAAGCTGAAGGCAAAGGCATGCCGCACTTTTCAGATTTGATGAAAACTGAAACACGAGGATTTTTTCTTTCACTTCACAGTTTTGTTCTCGTTTGTGTTGATCTAACACAGAAAATCCACCAGAGAAACTAAAACTACAGAGATGTGATCAAATGGATGAAGGTCAAAAGTTATGAATCTTCAAAAACCTAAAATCTCACCAATTATTTTTGTCCAGCACAAAAATACAAACCTGACTTATTTAAGTTTCTACTTAAAGAAGACAAAACTAACAATATTGATCAATAATTCCTTAACATTGATGAAAAACTATGGAGATTTTTTTTATCACTTAAATTATGAAACATATCTTGTTACAGTGGAACCAGGCAGCAGAAAAGGAACTTTTTAATCATTATGATGGATTTATTTACTCAAAACAAACTTCTACATCTTGCTGGAAAGTTACTTTATTCTAGTTTTATCTCAAGTGTTTCTAAGTGATTTTCCCCTGAAACTCGTCTGAAACTCTTTAACATTCAGTGTTTCTGCAGCGTTTTGCTTCCACAGCTGATCTCTTCATACAAAATGCTTTTGTTTGGTTTTACTGGGGAAATGACCTGTGGCCCCCTGCTGGGAGCTCAGGATGCTTTAAAACAGCTGATAACCAGCTGAGACGTTTCCTCTGCAGAGAGCCGTAAAACACACGACCTGCCACCCAGAGAGACGCAGCATTTTCCCTTTCAGCCCCAATCAGCTGCAGCTTTCATCTGCTGCAGCTTCTCTCTGCTGCAGCTTTCATCTGCTGCAGCTTCTGTCTGCTGCAGCTCCTCTCTGCTGCAGCTTTCATCTGCTGCAGCTCCTCTCTGCTGCAGCTTCTCTCTGCTGCAGCTTTCATCTGCTGCAGCTTCTGTCTGCTGCAGCTCCTCTCTGCTGCAGCTTTCATCTGCTGCAGCTCCTCTCTGCTGCAGCTTCTCTCTGCTGCAGCTTTCATCTGCTGCAGCTTCTGTCTGCTGCAGCTCCTCTCTGCTGCAGCTTTCATCTGCTGCAGCTCCTCTCTGCTGCAGCTTCTCTCTGCTGCAGCTTTCATCTGCTGCAGCTTCTGTCTGCTGCAGCTCCTCTCTGCTGCAGCTTTCATCTGCTGCAGCTTCTGTCTGCTGCAACTTCTCTCTGCTGCAGCTTTCATCTGCTGCAGCTTCTGTCTGCTGCAGCTCCTCTCTGCTGCAGCTTTCATCTGCTGCAGCTCCTCTCTGCTGCAGCTTCTCTCTGCTGCAGCTTTCATCTGCTGCAGCTTCTGTCTGCTGCAGCTCCTCTCTGCTGCAGCTTTCATCTGCTGCAGCTCCTCTCTGCTGCAGCTTCTCTCTGCTGCAGCTTTCATCTGCTGCAGCTTCTGTCTGCTGCAACTTCTCTCTGCTGCAGCTTTCATCTGCTGCAGCTTCTGTCTGCTGCAGCTTCTCTCTGCTGCACCTTTCATCTGCTGCAGCTTCTGTCTGCTGCAGCTCCTCTCTGCTGCAGCTTCTCTCTGCTGCAGCTTTCATCTGCTGCAGCTTCTGTCTGCTGCAGCTTCTCTCTGCTGCAGCTTTCATCTGCTGCAGCTTCTGTCTGCTGCAGCTCCTCTCTGCTGCAGCTTCTCTCTGCTGCACCTTTCATCTGCTGCAGCTTCTGTCTGCTGCAGCTCCTCTCTGCTGCAGCTTCTCTCTGCTGCAGCTTTCATCTGCTGCAGCTTCTCTCTGCTGCAGCTTCTCTCTGCTGCAGCTTTCATCTGCTGCAGCTCCTCTCTGCTGCAGCTCCTCTCTGCTGCAGCTTCTCTCTGCTGCAGCTTTCATCTGCTGCAGCTTCTCTCTGCTGCAGCTTCTCTCTGCTGCAGCTTCTCTCTGCTGCAGCTTCTCTCTGCTGCAGCTTCTCTCTGCTGCAGCTCCTCTCTGCTGCAGCTCCTCTCTGCTGCAGCTTCTCTCTGCTGCAGCTCCTCTCTGCTGCAGCTCGTCTCTGCTGCAGCTTCTCTCTGCTGCAGCTTTCATCTGCTGCAGCTTTCATCTGCTGCAGCTTCTCTCTGCTGCAGCTTCTCTCTGCTGCAGCTTCTCTCTGCTGCAGCTTTCATCTGCTGCAGCTTCTGTCTGCTGCAGCTTCTCTCTGCTGCAGCTCCTCTCTGCTGCAGCTTTCATCTGCTGCAGCTTCTCTCTGCTGCAGCTTCTCTCTGCTGCAGCTTCTGTCTGCTGCAGCTCCTCTCTGCTGCAGCTTCTCTCTGCTGCAGCTTTCATCTGCTGCAGCTTCTCTCTGCTGCAGCTTCTCTCTGCTGCAGCTTTCATCTGCTGCAGCTTCTCTCTGCTGCAGCTTTCATCTGCTGCAGCTTCTGTCTGCTGCAGCTTTCATCAGCTGCAGCTCCTCTCTGCTGCAGCTCCTCTCTGCTGCAGCTTCTCTCTGCTGCAGCTTCTCTCTGCTGCAGCTTCTCTCTGCTGCAGCTCCTCTCTGCTGCAGCTTCTCTCTGCTGCAGCTTCTCTCTGCTGCAGCTCCTCTCTGCTGCAGCTCCTCTCTGCTGCAGCTTCTGTCTGCTGCAGCTTTCATCTGCTGCAGCTTCTCTCTGCTGCAGCTCCTCTCTGCTGCAGCTCCTCTCTGCTGCAGCTTCTGTCTGCTGCAGCTTTCATCTGCTGCAGCTTCTCTCTGCTGCAGCTCCTCTCTGCTGCAGCTTCTCTCTGCTGCAGCTCCTCTCTGCTGCAGCTGCTGCAGCTTTTATCTGAGCTCTGAGGCCAGTCAGTCTGCAGAGCAGATTCTGATGACAACAACCTGAATTCATGAGGTTCCCATGATGCATCTGGGAACAAGAGCTGCTTCTCTCTCACTCAGCAACATGTTTTCCTCACCTGAGAAGAAATCCAACATTTTCTGCACCTTTGAGCTTTGCAGTCATTACTGAAGTCAAAAAGATGCTGAATCCAGAATCCATGTCTGAATGACTGGATAATCTGCCTGAACCAGGATGATGAGGTGAAGTTTGGTGCTGGAGGCGAATATTGCTGAGTTGTGAAAAATCTTTATTCTGTTTCCATAATTTCAGATTATGGAATCATAATCTGAAATTCTGATTCCAGGCTGTTCATGTTGAATAAATTTTAATGGAAGCATCAAACCTCCACATGCAAACAGTCGGGGTGTCACAGCTGGGTCAAAGGTCAACAGAGAGCGTCTCTGTTGACAGTCGGGTTCGGGCCGAGGTTAATGAAGATCCTGAGTGAACCAGGGTGGCACTTGGTGCAACACAGAATCTATATTAACTTTGGATCCGATCAGTAAAGAAGTTAAACTAAATATGTCCATCATTGATTTTCCGCTGAATCAGCGTTTCACAAACACAACCTCAGGCTTTCTGAGGCCAAAACACTAAACCGAAGCAAAGCTTCCATCCAATCCACTGTGAGGAGGAGGAAGTGGTTCCAGGTGTGACAGCAGGTCTGCAAACAAACAGAGGAGCAAAGGTTGAGCTCCACGGCGACCCCTAGAGGTCAGTGGACTTCAGCCTGAACAGGGAGGCCTGTTCATCGCGTCACACAAGCAGTGAGTCGTGTTAATACCAGTCAGTCTGCTGGACTGTGAAGCTTCCTGATGCTCCTCAGCTGTCGTTCTGATGAGTTCAGGTCCTGGTCCAGTGACCCGGTTCTGCCATCCCTCCTGTAACTGCAGGACGATCTGCAGGCTGTCGGCGGCTTCGCCTTCATCCCATCGGATCCTAGAAAACAAGCTGATGATCTGGGAACCGTCACAACCAGAGAGACAGCAGCAGCTCCTCCAGTTCTGGCTTCTTCAGAGCAGGAATGCAGGATTATTCCTGTTTACGGTGGAATTAAGTCAGTGCAGGAGGATTCGTCCTCAGCAGAGTTTAACCTCCATCATCATCAGACGTCAGCTGAAGCTCCAGTCGAGCTGCAGGCAGTGGAGGTGAAGGAAATGCTGGCGTTGGGTTTTCAGTGCGTGTCTCCAGGTCGCCACGCAGCAGCAGCTCAAAGTTTCCCTAAATTCCTTGGAGCTAAAGGAAAACATGACCTGTCTGCACAGGAGCTGCATTTTTACTGCACTTGTGTAAAGATCAAAGGTATCGCAGCGCTCTGCGCTTTCAGGAATACAAGCAGCTGCAGCAGCAGCAGCAGCAGCAGCAGCAGCTCAGGTCCCAATGAGAAGCAGGTGTCGGCCCGATGTGAGCGGTTTACACGGCTCCATAATGAGAGCTGGCTGCCTGGAGGGGCCTCCTGCACACAGGACACATAAAGAGCCACGCAAAGCCGGCATTACAAACCGTCCAGCAACACAGGCTCCAGACTGACTCTGGGTTTGTAAAGCACCAAACAGCAGAGAGACATGATGCAGCTCAGCTGTGGAAACGATGCAGGCAGTAAAACGACGTTACAGCATGAAGTGTTTGAATTGAACCCAAACGGGCCTGAGGCTGGAACCGCAGACCTGATTCATGTGGTCGAATTAAAGAAACAGAGACGTGACACACGGGACTGCTGCAGATTGGAAACATGTGTCACAGTGCAGGTGAGCAGAGCTGAACAGAACCTGCAGAGCTGAACAGAACCTGCAGAGCTGAACAGAACCTGCAGAACTGAACAGAACCTGCAGAACTGAACAGAACCTGCAGAACTGAACAGAACCTGCAGAACTCAACAGAACCTGCAGAGCTGAACAGAACCTGCAGAACTGAACAGAACCTGCAGAACTGAACAGAACCTGCAGAGCTGAACAGAACCTGCAGAGCTGAACAGAACCTGCAAAACTGAACAGAACCTGCAGAGCTGAACAGAACCTGCAGAACTGGAAGAGCTGCCAGTTTAAACTGGTTCAGCTGGTGGGCTGACTGGGACTGATCCAATGCAGAACCAGCAGAACCAGCAGAACCAGAATATCTGTGATTTTATTTGTGCATTTATAACGATCAGATGAGGAGTTCCTCAGGGCTCCATCCTGGTGCCACTGCTGTTATGACTCTAATGATGGAGGTTTCAGTCTCTTGTTTTAGCATAAAGGTTAAAGGTCATTGTTACATTTTGGTTTATTAAAGAATTTCCTGTTTGTTTAGTTGTTTCCATTTCATGATGTTGGAATATTTCAGTTTTGTTTCAGACTCTGATTGTTGGTAGAAAGTTTTCTTCGATGCAACGTGACGTTGTGTCAGGTTGTGACAGAGACACAGTTTGTGTCACGTTTATTAATTTAACAGTGAGTTGAGTTTAATATTTAATATTTATATTTAAATCTCTAGATTTAAATATAAAAATAATCTGAGTTGGTTTTAGAACGAGATCCAGTTTCTCATCTGAATGGTAACAACATCCAGATTTCTTGCTTTATATTCTTTTATTTCTTTATCTTTGAGTTTCATTCTGAGCTGCATGTTCAGGTGAAACACTGGTTCTGGTTCTGGTTCTGGACTCAGTGTTGTGTTTGTGGCGACCCAACAGTCTGACATCAAAACCTGAACAAAAACCCAGAAAGGAGGTTTTCTGATGGAATGTCCTTGAGGACGTGACACTTCTCACTCCGAGGAGATAAAAATAGTGTCTCTGTTACCAAACCTCTGCAGAGCAGCACCAGCAATTAAAGCCAGGTCGGGTTTGGCCGGGCCTCCTCTAGCATCATCTGAAAAAAATAGTTACGAAAGCTGCTGTCCCAGCAAACGCTTTATGAAAACTAACAAACATGGAACATCTTAGCATGAGGCCTAATCTCCTAATGGACGGTTTGTCAGTTTGTGCTGAAGCTGCAGAGTTTTGGTGAAACATGGAGCTCTTATCAGATTACATCACAGTGAAAACCTGGCGCTGAGTCTGCAGCCTCCTGCTGGCCAGAGGCACCGCAGAACCACCCTTATGAAAACTCCTGTCACTGAGCCCAGAGCTCAGAACAAAGCCCCTTCCTTTCTCCGCTAAATTTAACCTTCGCTTCAAAAAACGTACACTTACAAAATCAGAGGTTCACATTTTGTGTTCCAGGTGAGCAGCAGCTGATCAGCCTTTTGTCTCCATCCGCTTCATTCAGCAGCCGGGAGAAACACGGGCAATATGTCTGAAATATGTCTGAGAGACATTTTCTTTACAGAGAAACATCAGCTGATGTCTGAAATCAGTAATCTAATAATCCTGCAGATTAATTTCCAGAGGAAATCATCTCAGAGTGAACATGCTGTCCAAACACCAGAGAGCAAAACCAGACAGGAAACATCCTGAAGGAAACGAAGCAAAGTGACGACCCAAAGAGCTGATGAACATCTGAACACGGCAGAACCGGCAGAACCGGCAGAACCGGACCGATCCGATCCAAACAACAACAATCCTCAAAGGTTTGGTTCATCTCTGATGGGTTCAATGACAGTCGGGAACTTTACAGCCCATAAAGGAAACATCCTCATGGTGTTTCACTGCGATTCAATCGGGACGGACCGGAGATCCAGACCCGGTTCACAGCAGAACCCAGAACACAGGCTGGACTCCACCTTTGGATCCAGTATCTGCTTTAATCTCCAAAGTAAAATCCATATTTTTCACCATTTCAGGAGGAGAAACTCACATCTTCTATATTCGTTACACAGAGAGTGAAATGATCCAGTTTTTATTTCTTGTGGTTCTGATGGTTCTGGTTGGATAAAAACCCAACATTCAGCGTTTCAGGAGACCAGAATATTACATCAGATCATTGATAAGCAGAAATATCAGGATTATAGAATCTGCTATAATCCTGATGCAGCGGAACATGGAGGAGACCAACCCGAGGTTCTGCTGGGGTTCTGCAGAGGTTCTGTTGAGGTTCTGCTGAGGTTCTGCTCGGGTTCTGCTGGGGTTCTGTTGGGTTCTGCAGAGGTTCTGCTAGGGTTCTGCAGAGGTTCTGTAGAGGTTCTGTAGAGGTTCTGTAGAGGTTCTGCAGAGGTTCTGTAGAGGTTCTGTAGAGGTTCTGAAGAGGTTCTGCAGAGGTTCTGTAGAGGTTCTGTAGAGGTTCTGTAGAGGTTCTGTAGAGGTTCTGTAGAGGTTCTGTAGAGGTTCTGTAGAGGTTCTGAAGAGGTTCTGCAGAGGTTCTGCTCGGGTTCTGCAGAGGTTCTGCTCGGGTTCTACAGAGGTTCTGCTAGGGTTCTGCTGAGGTTCTGTTGGGGTTCTGCAGAGGTTCTGCTGAGGTTCTTCTCGGGTTCTGTTGAGGTTCTGTTGAGGTTCTGCTGGGGTTCTGCTCGGGTTCTGCTGAGGTTCTGTTGGGGTTCTGCAGAGGTTCTGTTGGGGTTCTGCTGGGGTTCTGCTGGGGTTCTGCTGAGGTTCTGCTCGGGTTCTGGAGGTCCAGGTTCCTGTGAAACATTTAGTTTATCGGCGCCGTTGGTTCTGGTGTCATTCATCTTCCTCAAAACAAAACTCCATAGATTCTCTGTGGGGTTAAAGGTCAGGCCAGTGTGCTGTCGTTACCATGGTGATAGGAGCAGATTTTGGTACCAGCAGACGACCCGAATTTATCACTGACTGGTTCTCCTCAGTCCGGTTCTGGTTCTCTTCAGTCCAGTTCTGGTTCTCTTCAGTCCGGTTCTGGTTCTCTTCAGTCCGGTTCTGGTTCTCTTCAGTCCGGTTCTGGTTCTCTTCAGTCCGGTTCTGGTTCTCTTCAGTCCGGTTCTGGTTCTCCTCAGTCCGGTTCTGGTTCTCTTCAGTCCGGTTCTGGTTCTCTTCAGTCCGGTTCTGGTTCTCTTCAGTCCGGTTCTGGTTCTCCTCATCCGGTTCTGGTTCTCCTCAGTCCGGTTCTGGTTCTCTTCAGTCCGGTTCTGGTTCTCTTCAGTCCGGTTCTGGTTCTCTTCAGTCCGGTTCTGGTTCTCCTCAGTCCGGTTCTGGTTCTCCCAGACTCAGTTATTCTTGTTGCTTTTGCGCCGTTTCCAACCACACTTTTTTCTTCCACCTAACTTTCTGTGGGTGTTGTTGGACATCAGAAACTGAAGGACTTTTAGCAAATTGTAACTTTTTGATTTAGTTCTTCATGAAGCTTCAATTATTGGAAACATGCAAATGAATAAGTTTGAAACTCGACATAAGTTTCAATATTTAACTTAGAATATGATAAAAATGTTGGCTTTTATTTTCTCCAAGTCAAAGTGACAAGAAATAAAGCTTTGAAATGTAATAAACATCATGAGTTTCATTTTCTGCAGAGAAACAAAAACATTTTTCTGGGAAGTTTGAAGTTTGAACTCGACTCTCTTCTGTGTAAACGACAAACAAAAGTCAAAACATGAAAACAATAAAACAACAAGAAGTCGACGCTACACTTTGACTTTAGCTCCAGTGTGGTTATTATCTACGAACACGAATAACTGAGACAGACACAGTGCTTTACAACGACCAGAACCAGGCAGACAGAACCAGCAGAGGCCGAAGGCTTCCGGGTCCAACGGAACCAAAGACAGGAAGGAAATCAGGTTTCAGGACATCTGGCACAGAAAGACCATAAAAGTTCATCTGGTTCCTAAAGGGACGACGAGGTTCTCCCTCCTCTCAGATCGGACCTCAGCAGCCGGGACGCTGCTGCAGCCGCCGGGACGCTGCTGCAGCCGGGCAGTTCTGGTCCAGCATGTTCATGTTCACCATGCAGGAGTCCCAGCGGGCCCAGCTGGACCCGGCGGGGCCCAGCTGGACCCGGCGGGGCCCGGTGGATCACTGGTTGACGTGGGGCCTCAGGGCTTGGTAAAGTCCCTCGAACGTGGGTCGGTCCGTGATGTTGCGGCTCCAGCAGCGCATCATCAGCTCAAAGAGAGACGGCGGGCAGAGAGGCGGGGCGTACAGGAAGATCTGGAGGACAGAGAACAGCAATCAGTCTCCATGCAACACAGCATCAGGCTGGGGTTCCTGATGAAACGGACTTTGGTTCTGTTGGACCAATTAATGGCTTTAGATACAAAGTATTTCCAATCAACCAACTAAAATCATTTAGGCATGCTGTCATCCTGCAGGGGGCGCCACCTCTAGCCAGCTGGTAGCTGAGAGAGAAATAAAGATGGCGGAAGAATCACAGAGCAGAAATGCATTTCTGTTCAGAAATATAACATTTTTTATTTTTCTATTCCTGGATTACTGTTTCAGTATGTTTTGTAATTTTAAATTTTAATTAAGATTAACAATGTATAAAAATCACAATCTTCTATTGATACAGCTGATAAATAAACCTTGCAGTGAATGTTTTTTATTTCACATCAAGCCTCTTAATACAAGAGAAAAATCAAGATTTTCAGAAAATTGGTGTTTATCAATTAATTGAGTCCATCAATAAGATGAACTTTAGATTAACTCATTAAATAGTAACCTTCATCCGAGTGAAAAACACAAATCACAATAAAAGTTCAGCAAAATGACAGCAGCTCCCCCTTGTGGTCAAAGTTGATAACACAGCCTGAACAGACCAGAACTCCCAGCCTGGTTCTGATGGACCCGTCTCACCTGTCGGCCCTGGTTCCGGAAGAACTCGCCCGAGTTCTCGATGACCTGTTCGTCGGACAGCAGGCTGTACGGCTGCTCCTTACACAGAGTGAAGATTTCCCACAGCGTCACGCCGAAGGCCCACACGTCGCTCGCCGTGGTGAACTTCCCCTGCAGGAGGCAGCAGGATGTTCAATCCGCTCGTTTAATCTGAGGCCTGTTGGGATTAATCCCTCACCAGCAGGATGCTCTCCCAGGCCATCCAGCGGATGGGCAGCACGGCCCGGCCCTGGATCCGGTAGTAGTCGCTGCTGTACAGGTTCCTGCTCATCCCGAAGTCGGCGATCTTGATGGTGAGGCGGCGGTCCAGCAGGCAGTTCCTGGTGGCCAGATCACGATGGACGAAGTTCAGAGACGCCAGGTACTTCATCCCAGAGGAGATCTGGACGGCCATGTGGAGGAGGTCCGACAGGCTGCAGGGGCGGAGTCAGAGGAGGCGTAGTCAGAGGAGGCGGAGTCAGAGGGGGCGGGGTTAGAGGAGGCGGAGTCAGAGGAGAGGAGGGGGCGGAGTCAGAGGAGGCGGAGTCAGAGGAGGAGAGGAGGGGGGGAGTCAGAGGAGGCGTAGTCAGAGGAGGCGGAGTCAGAGGGGAGGATGGGGCGGAGTCAGAGGAGGCGGAGTCAGAGGGGGCGAGGTTAGAGGAGGCGGAGTCAGAGGAGGCGGAGTCAGAGGGGGCGGAGTCAGAGGGGGCGGGTTTAGAGGAGGCGGAGTCAGAGGAGGCGGAGTCAGAGGAGGCGGTGTTAGAGGAGGAGAGGAGGGGCGGGGTCATAGGAGGCGGAGTCAGAGGGGGCGGGGTTAGAGGAGGCGGAGTCAGAGGAGGAGAGGAGGGGCGGGGTCAGAGGGGGCGGAGTCAGAGGAGGCGGAGTCAGAGGAGAGGAGGACGATGTTTCGTCCACTTGAAGCAGGTTTTATGACATCATCACATATCGTTTTCACGCGATGCGGCGCAGCACCTGACGGAGGGAATGTTGTTGGCGTGCGTCAGCGTGCTCTCGATCTCGCGCTGACACAGGAACATGTTCAGGTCTCCGTTCTCCATGTACTCGGTCACCATGCACAGCGGGTCGGACGACACACACACACAGCAGCCGGATGATGTTCGGGTCGTCCAGCCGGGACATGATCTTGATTTCCTTCAGGAAGTCGTTCCTGGAGGACAGAGAGAGAAAGGACATAGGAAGGACAGAGGACATAGGAAGGACAGAGGAAGGACAGAGGACAGAGGACATAGGAAGGACAGAGGACACGTCTTCAGTGAACGTCACAACCTGAGACTCAGCTCTACAAACTCAACTCTCTGTCTGGTTCCAGCTGCAGCACCGACTGGAAACCAGTTAGAAAAATGCCAATAAATGAGATTTTTACTGAAAGGCTTCAGGAAAACTGATATATTTTATTATAAATTATTGATAATATTGATGATTAATGGCTCTCAGTGGATCAGAAAATTAAATCACATGAATAGAAAAAAAACGTCAGTTTCTGAAAATTGTCATCGTTTCTTCGTTTCCAGTTCTGGTCTGAATTTCTGCATCGATGCAGTGCAGGTCAGGGTTTGACCTCTGACCTCTGACCCGGCCCGTCTCTCTGCGTACCTGGCCTGACTCGTGGCGTCGGCCCTCAGCTGCTTCACCGCCACCAGGACCGAGCGTCCGTCTCTGTCGGGAAGCGGCGAGCCTTCCCCAAGGAATTCTGGGAGTCCCTCGGCCTCACAGAGGTGGACCTGCAGAGAGGAGGAGGTTCTGATTCTGTTCATTTGGTCAGTGCAGCCGGGTCGGACCGGCACAAAACATTCTGATGACATCATCAGTAAGATCTGAGCTGGGAAGCAGAGCTTCACCTCTCCGAACTGGCCCTCTCCCAGCTTCTCCCTGAAGATGAGCTGGTGGCGCGGGAACTCTGCGGCCGAGATGTCCTTCCTGGTGAGGGAGTCGACGGTCAGGGCGGGGACGGCGTACATGTTGCTGCCGGTGACGCCCTGCAGCCGCACGATGTCCGTCTCGGCGTAGTGCGGCGCGTTGCTGTTGAAGGACTGGTGAGGCGTGCACTGGGTGACGTCCGGCTCGGCGTAGCCGCCGCCGCAGGCTGTCAGAGACACAGCCTTCATCATCATCATCATCATCATCATCATCATCATCATCATCATCATCATCATCATCATCATCATCATCATCATCATCATCATCGCTGGAAGACCAGCAGCAGCTCGATGCAAAGATGGAGGAATTAAATAGTACAGGAAGGAAAAGTTACAATATGATGTTTTTATGAATGAACAGAACTGAGGAGAAAAAAGCCATAAAGAAATAATGTGACTGTAGTGATGAAAATCAGAAGATCTAATAATTATGTGACACCAAATGATCAACAGTGAAGTTGATCATTTTAAATAAATTATATATTTTTAACATACATAATAAAACAAACACCAATAAAATAGGAACCTGAAATTTGTTGGAAAAAAAAGATACATGTAGTAAACATTAATTATGACTCAATTATAGATGAATGTTTTTTACAGAGTAATATTATGTAATATTACTCTGTAATAGTATCTAATGCTTCAATAAAGGGGAGAGAGAAATAAATATTAATGTAAAAACCAGTTAATCACTTTTCAGTTAATATGATATTAATACAGAGGTTGCAGTATTATTATCTAGATATATTCATTTATTAAATTATATTCTAATAATTAATCTGTTGTAACAAGATGATAAATGGTTAATCTAATGTACAACATATTAATACTTTTATATTAAAGTTGTTGTTTCTGTACTACTGACACCCAGAACTCCAGAATATCCCAAAATATTTTCATATCTTCTGTCATTTTGTTTTCAGTTGTTTAACTTTCAGTTGATTTTCTAGACTGTTAAATCTTCGCTCTTCCACCTGATTTTCTGTAAAACGTCTCAAGTCGTCACACCTTTCATCTCTGACCACCAAGCCATCCTGACGTCTGGCGACAGGAAGTCAGCAGCAGCAGGTCACAGAGAGGTTACCGAGGAAGAGCGCTGAGGAAGAGGAGACACGGAAAGAGGCAGAGCTGGAGGAGGAGAGGAGAATGAGCATGCAGAAGACCCAGAGCAGAAGAAAAGACAGAACCGACAGAGACTGAGGACATGACGGAGGTCCAAATGCTCCCCTGCTGGGAGGCGAGGCGCTGTTAACGGCCACCAGGGGGCAAAGTGGAGCAGAGACATTTCCAGAAAAGCCTTCAGATCTGGCAGCAAAACTTAAAACATGCAAATAACATCAGAAAGGATCACAAAAATAAACCAGAGATGATAAATTAAAAAATCTATTTATTAATTTATAAAAGCGAGGAAAAGAGTAATCTGTCCTCTCTGCACTCTGGAGTATTAAAGGGACATTACTCAAAGTTTTACTGGTATGAAGAGTAAATTCAAACCTTCATTTGAAAACAAACTATTTTAATGAGTCTAATTATAAATTCATTGTGTTTCCAAAAACCAGAAAAACATCAGAGGACAGAGAAATCCCATCACCATCCGGCTGGGATCCAGTTACAGAACCAGAAAAGTTCTGGTTCTGCCAGATGGAGAGGATTCATTTTGGGTCGGTTCTGATCTGGATGAGATCCGGTACCTGAAGCCTCGGCGCTCTGCGACAGCTCCGGCAGCTTGTTCCTCAGGACGGCCGGGTTCTGGTACTGGGGGTCCAGCAGGAAGACCCTCTCATAGTGGGGGTCAGTGTTGGTGGGACCTGGGCACAAAAACACAACATGAGAACATAAAGGCTTGAAATCGACTGTTAACAAGAAGTTCATGCTCTTATTTTGAAGAGGGTGACCACAGCAGTTCCTGTCCTGCTCTCCACCTGAGTTACGGTGCAACTAATGACGTTTCATCCAAACCCAGAATAAATCGATTTACTGCAAACAGTTTAAAATCCACTGATGTTCTTCCTGACCGACGCTCTGCTGCGGTCAAAATCAGCAGAGTTATAAAAACTCAACAACAATCCGACCAAAACCACGAGGTTCTGTTCCTGAGGCGCAATAACAAATCTGAACTGCTGGGGGCGATAAAATATGTTGTGACATGTGATCAACATGTTTGCATTTGAGTGTTAGCTTCTGCTAAATACCATGTTGATGTAGCTCTTTAATGTTAGCAGAGCTATTGTTTCTGAATAACTAACTAACTGTTTAGTTAGAGATGCTAACTGTTTAGTTAGCATTGCTAACTGTTTAGTTAGCGTTGCTCATCGTCTGTCTGTTTTATCATCTGTGGATGTAAATCAGAAACACTGAACATCCAGTCGTGTCCAGGGTCGCCATCGGCCTCGATGCTGAATCCAGATTCTAGAAGCTCAGTGGGATTTCAGAGCGATGTCACTGGTCCCACCTGAGGCCCAACCTGGTTTCCACCCTGCAGCCGACACAACTTCCTGTGGTTGAAACTGGAATCACTTCCTGAATCACCAGATGCAGAAAGCCTGAGTCCGGGTCGGGCTTCGGTTCTGACAGACGTGTTGCTCTTTGTGCTGGAAGAGTTGAGGCGGCAGCTGGAAAACCATTTGCCCTGACAGGCTGCGTGTTGTTGGCCTTCTGCTGACAAATGTTTCCTCCATCTGAGCTCTAGACGTTTCCTCTGATGACCTTTAAATGAATTATGTCTCATTTCATCTCCTCACAAGTTTTTTCTGGGAAAGAAACTTCTGTTTTTCTGTGAGAAAACATGATGCAGCCGCCTGCTCTGCCTCACCAGAACATAAATCTGAATGTTTGTTGGGACAATAGTGAATCAGAGGATCTGAACAGGTGAGCCATTGCGGCTTCACAGCGACGACGCTACCTGCAGGAGGATGCCGGGACCGCGGCGGCACCGGCGGCGTCTGCAGGATTATGGTGTCGCTGCAGGACGACAGGCGGACCGTCACCTCCTCATCCAGGATCTGACGAGGCGCCTGGCTCAGAAAACAGAAACTTTTACTTTTCATTTCACAGGATCTGAATTCTGACTGATTCTGACTGAGATCTACTGAATATGTTGTTTTAATATTTGCACCTTCTCCAGCACCTTGCAGACACACTGGCACCAGAGGATGAGGAAGATGATGATGACCAGCAGGAGGATGATGGTCACCAGGCAGCCAATCAGAACGGGCGTGTTTCCTTGGTCTGAGCTGCTGCTGGCGGACGGAGCGGCTGCTGAGGAGATCAGGAGAAAACATGGAGGCTTCTGCAGGAAACTAAACCGTCTGAAGGAACATGGCGCTTCACCTGTGTTATCGGTCTTTGGTGCGGTTGTCATGGTGATGACCCTATGGCCTCCTGGAACAGATGTCCCGATCGGTGGCTGCTGTGTTGGCAGTATGATATCTTCTAGTAGACAAAAACATGGTCATTTTTAATGCTTTCCAATCTGCACAAAGAGGACCGAACACTCGGCCCTGAGGAACTCCGACAGCTGCACTCTCTACCTGACTGAAATGAGATCTCACTGAACATCATCCAGACGTCAGCGTAGTAGAAGCGGCAGCGGAGCGACCTGGCGGCGCGGCGGCTCAGCGGCACCGTGACGTAACGGGCGCTCGGGTTCCTGTCGTCCAGAATGGTGGCGAAGGAAACGGGATCCGGATCCCAGCCGAGCGACGGCTTGAACCAGCAGGACACGGAGGAGAAGATCTTCACGCCGCGAGTGTACATGTTGTTACTGTGAACCTGCATCACGAAACAAGTGGAAGAGTTGGACAGAAAGACAGAGGAGACTTCAGGGGACAAACGGGTCCAAAACAAATATCTGCTTCAAGACAAACTGTTCACGTTCAAAAACCGTTAGATTGTTTTTGGCTGCTTTTTGGACAAATAAGAATCAAACATGGAGGTTCTCCACTCCTCCATGTTTGGACTCATGCTTGGACCGTGCTTGTCCCTGTAGGTTCTGATGTTTGGACCATTTTTGGACCGTGTTTGAACCATGTTTGGACCATGTTTGGACCGTGTTTGGACCGTGTTTGGACCGTGTTTGGACCGTGTTTGGACCGTGTTTGAACCGTGCTTGCACCGTGTTTGGACCGTGCTTGTCCCTGTAGGTTCTGATGTTTGGACCGTTTTTGGACCGTGTTTGGACCGTGTTTGGACCGTGTTTGGACCGTGTTTGAACCGTATTTGGACCGTGCTTGTCCCTGTAGGTTCTGATGCTTGGACGGTGTTTGGACCCATGTTTGGACCGTTTGTGGACCGTGCTTGTCCCTGTAGGTTCTGATGTTTGGACCATGTTTGGACCCATGTTTGGACTGTGTTTGGACCGTGTTTGTCCCTGGAGGTTCTGCAGTCTCTGTGACGTCTCCACTCTGATCCGGGTCAGGGACTTTCTGCAGGTCTGGCAGTGACCAGGCCTGAGTCTGGTTAATTAAACGGAACCAGAAAAAGTGGTTAATGCCAGTTAATTCATGAGTTAAGAGGGAGAGAATGACCTTTGACCCGGGGCCACGGTGGTTCGGATGACTTTCTGAGTTTTCTCTGGTTAGTTTGGTCTGATATTTGAATGTTTTGGATGATTTTCTTCATGAACTGTGAACTTTCAGGATGTTTTAACGTCTCTGAAATGAGAGGATATCTGAGCTGCTGACCTTCATGGAGGTGAAGTTCCTCAGCCTGTCGAACACAAACTCCATCTCCACGTATCCCTGAGTCCCCGGCGTGTCGTTCCTCCAGCCCAGGTAGTCGTATCCCTGCCACACGTTGTACTGGCGGATGGCCAGGAAGTCGTCGCGGCCCGTCACGCCGTCCGTCAGCTGACCCAGGCCTCCGAACAGCTTCCTGTTAGGAGAGACGCCGTCGGTCAGGGGGAACCGGGGAACCGGACCAGCTGGTGTTTACCGACCCCGACCTTTTCTCGTGGACGCCGTCGTACGTGGAGTCGTTGAGGCTGATTACTGACGGGTTACCGGGCGACATCATGAGCTGACCCTCCGGAGCGCTGTAGGAGAGCAGCCCGTCTGCAGACAGCAGGGAGAAACCAGAACGGTTCTGCTTCGTGCTGCGTCATCATCAAAATGTAAACCTGCTCTCTGTCCAGCGTGTGGCGCACCCTCCCAGGGACAGCCGTACAGCTCCACCCTCATGCACACGGTGGTGGACAGCCTGGTGACGGGGATGACGCGGACGTAGCGCGCGATGATCGGAGGCTTCAGGTCGTTGGAGAAAATGCCGTAAGTGTTTTTGTTTCCTTCCAGGACCTGAGTGGGAAAACAAAGGAAACATAACTGAACTGGTTCCTCCATAACTGAACCAGTTCCTCCATAACTGAACTGGTTCCTCCATAACTGAACCAGTTCCTCCATAACTGAACCAGTTCCTCCATAACTGAACTGGTTCCTCCATAACTGAACCAGTTCCTCCATAACTGAACCAGTTCCTCCATAACTGAACTGGTTCCTCCATAACTGAAGTTCCTCCATAACTGAACTGGTTCCTCCATAACTGAACCAGTTCCTCCATAACTGAACCAGTTCCTCCATAACTGAACTGGTTCCTCCATAACTGAACCAGTTCCTCCATAACTGAACTGGTTCCTCCATAACTGAACCAGTTCCTCCATAACTGAACTGGTTCCTCCATAACTGAACTGGTTCCTCCATAACTGAACCAGTTCCTCCATAACTGAACTGGTTCCTCCATAACTGAACCAGTTCCTCCATAACTGAACCGGTTCCTCCATAACTGAACCGGTTCCTCCATAACTGAACTGGTTCCTCCATAACTGAACTGGTTCCTCCATAACTGAACTGGTTCCTCCATAACTGAACTGGTTCCTCCATAACCTCCAGCTCCATGTCACCCCTCTCCCCCCCCCCAGCTGTTCTGTCTCATTCGGGTCTCTCACCGCCTTTCCCTGCCGGTTCTTCCAGGACTTCCACAGCTGTCCGTCTCGGCTGTAGTTCAGGCGGTACGCCGCGGCGAACTCCTTCCCCAGACCTCTGGCGTACCGGCCCTGAGTCCCGAACAGCGTCAGGAAGGTGAGTCTGCGCAGGTCGATCTGCAGCAGAGCATCAGATCCAACATCACTCCAGACTCACCGTCTCCCCATGCAGACCGATTTTAACCTTTGACCTTTTTGAAACCTACCTGCAGGTACTGGGAGTCTGAAGGCTCCAGCTGTCCTTCAGGACACCAGGCGCCGTCTCCGTCCTCAGAGTTCAGCCTGCAAGTCAAACATGCCGGTAAAAAATCTGAAGGTTTCATTTGAAACGCCTGCAGAAAGACCCAGGCTGGGATTCGAACCCGGAACCTCCGCCGTGCTGCCACATTGTATTCACAGCAGTAAAGGTCGCTGACCTCTGCATCACCTTTACAACCCAAACACAGCCCTTCAAAGTAAAATAGTTTCTCCCAGAAACATCATTTCATTTTTGTGTTTGGGTTTATTACATTTCCTTCAATGGGGCATAAAAAAGTGACATTAGAAATGATTTCCCAACATTCCCTCCAGTGTCTGCAGCAGGCGGCTGACCTGGCGTACTGCGGCCCGGTGGTCTCGTACCACCGGCTGGACGCCGTCAGGTCCTCGTCGGGGATCCGTCCGTCCTCCATGCCCAACGCATAGCGACAATGTTCTGAACACACAATCACACATGGAGCCGTTTCACTCAGGAGTTTGATTTGGGCGCGTCGGGGCGGCCATCTTGCCTCGGCGTGCTCACCTGGATCGATCTGTCCACTGGCTGCTGGAAGCTGAAGGATCAGCAGCAGGAAGAGGTGCATGATGGTCCAACGGTCACACCAGCAGGCGCGCTACATCTCTGAGAGGAGGACAGGGAAAACCATTCAGCATAAATGATATTATTATTATTATTATTATTATTATTATTATTATTATTATTATTACTGTTCAGTGGCAGATGATTGGTTCCATTTCCAAACAGATTCCAGCTGAAGCAGATTTCCCTCCATGAGCTTTTACATCCATTTCCTTTATTCATGGAAACCATTTCACTTTTTAGAGAGAAGTTTTCCTTTTCAGCTCCAAACAGTTTTAATTTGGTTCTGAGTCCAAACCCGGGTTTGGACCAAACTGCTGCAGGTCAACGTCTCTGACCGACTGCCAGCGTAATTAGTGACGCTCTCTGAGTGATTTCACCATGTTGTCACTGAGGTTACACAACGCAGAAACAGATTTCATTTATCATCACAGGTCCGACTGCTGCCAAGTCCTGGTTTCAGAGGGACCAACGTCTCTCCAGAGAAAGCAGCTGGACGGGGCGGGAAGAACCGGGGCAGGACGAGCCGGAGAGAGGGAAGGACACAAAGACAGGAAGAAGGAACGCTGAGCTGATAAGGAAGGAGAAGAAAAACTGGCAGAAAGAAACGAAGAAAAGTCCAGAGAACAAAGAAGAAACCTGAACTTTCCACGGTTTTAAAAGTTCAGCAGGTCATTTCATGTTTTAACTTTTATTATCCTGAGAAGACATGCGGCAAAGGTCGCCGGGCCCGGGACTCGAACCCGCGACGTCCGCAACGAGCACTGAGGCCTCCAAACGTGGGGCGTGCTAAACCCGGCGCCACCGCAGCACGCCCAAGAGTTGGTTCTTTCTGTTTGTAAAGTTACAAAAATCAACAGAAAATTAGATTCATAACGTATTTTCATCTTGTTATTCACTCATTTATAAATATCAGTTTCAAATAATTATTATTTACCTGATTCTCTTGCCTAACTAAATATTTAGATGGTGAGCTAAATATTTATCTCTAAACTAAATGTTTAGTTAGAAAACTAAGTAGCTCAGAGCTGAATGTTGAACCTCTTCACTGTAGATGCAGTTTAGAGTTTAATATTAAGTTTGTGAACAAGATATTAATATTGATAACTAAATCAGTTTGAAACTGTGGACTTTATAAATGACTGACTAACATGGTGACATTCTGATCTTGAAAACTAAAAACCCTTTTAGCTTTTGGCTGTGAAACTTTAAACCCGTCAAACTGAGTCACTGCCTGTTCTGGTGCAGCTCAGGTTCCAGGTTCACCTCCGTCCCACAGCAACTAGACCTGCAGCAACATGTTGGGGAAGGTCCCAGTCAGATTATTCTGCTGCTTATTCAACAAAACTGAACCAGCTGCTGGTTTCCTGCTGCAGCTCCTGAAACAATCTCTTTTTTCTGTCTTGGTCGCAGGAAGTGACTCTATTGACTTGGTCCAGAGGAAAAGGCGAGCCGAGGCAGAGCGAGGAGAGGAAGAGCTTTATGTAATGTTCTGGCACCGACGTTCATCTCTGCAGCTCAGATCACAGAGAACAAACCGGATCCAGATGAGGCGACGGTTCAACTGACCAAACATCTGCATACGGAGCAACATTTCAAACATTTTCAAATAATCTAAAACACATTTTCCACAGCGGGAATAAAACTCCTCTAGGAGCCGTAAAACAGATAATAAGGATGAAACTCAGCTTGTTCCTGTGGGGGAGGAAACAGCGCCGCGCCTGGCAGCGCGCGGTATTACAGCCTGCAGTTCAAACTGACAGCAGAACCAGAACCTCAGCAGAACCTCAGCAGAACCTCAGCAGAACCTCAGAAGAACCACAGCAGAACCTCAGCAGAACCTCAGCAGAACCTCAGCAGGTTCTGAGGTGGAACCTAAACACAGAGTTTTAACCCTTAACTTCCCAAACCAACAGCCAACAGCAGATTCTTTATTCTTGCTGAACTTCTGGACGTTTGTGACTAAAAAGTGACAGTTTAGGATTTTACATAAAATATTAAGTAACATTTTCATTCCTGACTCAATTTGCAGGCATTTACCTCCATAACACTTTCATCTAATGACTCCTGCCAACAAAAGAAGAAAAACAAAGAGAAACAAAGGAAATCGATGATTTACTGAACGTTTGGCTCCTTCATCAGCAGCTCGAACCCAAACGGACTCATTTCACCTCGGAACAAAATCAGAACATGTTGGATAAATGAAATGCTTCAGTGAAACCAGACATGAAACATGACAAGGTTCTCGCTGTAAATGTTCCTTACAGGCACCGGTAGCTGACAGGAAACCAGCAATCGGGCCTGGCTGGGAGCAGAACCCGGACAAACCAGAACCAACGGCTTCGGCCGGTCCAGAACCCAATTCAACCCAAAACAAGAGCAAAACGGTTTGACTTCCTGCGACAAAAAGCTGCTCAAACTTCTGCTCACAAACAGTTTCAGATTCATAAACAGTTTAATGAAGGAACCTAAACCTGCTCAATAACAACATTCACTCTAAGGAGATTTATTAAAGCTCCGTCTCAAGGTTCAAAGCGTTTCTTTCAGCTGCTCCAGATGATTTATGGAATCAACTTGAGCTGTTTTGCAGCTGCAATCATCTAAAATAACTCTGGTTCTGGTTAATTAGCTGTGGCAGAGAGCAACTCTGTTTGCTCTCCTCTCAACATTTTCCAGAGTTTTTTCTCCTTTCCTTCTTCTTATCTCCTTTGTCTGTTTCTCTCTTCCTCCTCCTCCCGGCCCTCCTCTTCCTCCTCTTCCTCCTCCTCCTCCTCCTTCGTCAGAACGAACTGAAGCCAAAAGCCTCAACATTCCAAACATTCAACGCAACCCAGATTTCTCTCTGTGCTGCGTTTCCCCGGGCCGTCTCCGGCTCACACAAACACACAGGAATCCGTTCCTCCGCTCCGCTGCGCTCACAGATCTCGGCTCATCGGGGTGAAGGAGGCAGAGTTCACTGGGAGCGAAGCAGCAGAACCTGCATAGATCCGTCTGACGGCCGGACAAAAGGCCCACAGACGGTCCAACACGCCCAGAACCGTTCGCTCATCTGGAGCCTTCTGCTTTTTGCAATAATCCTGAACTGCAGCCTAAGGTTAAAAGTTAAAGGTCAAAGTGTATTAGAGCATTTATTCTTACTGTGTTTGCATAATTAAAAACCCCAAGTTGGTTTAAACGCATCGGGTTAAGATGCTGCTTTCCACAGAATTAGTTGAAGTTATTTTGTTTTTATTTTGGGGCGTTGGGGGAAAGGCTGACTCCATCCAGGTTCATAGAGATTTAATCCTTTCAAACTTCTTCAAGTGTCTCTTGATGAGAACACAGCAGCTGAAACATGGTTTGCTTTATGGGATGCAACACCATGAGACTTATGGAAACCTAACAAACCAGCAATCAACAAATGATTTAAAAGAGCTCTGACAAGAACCCAGTCAGTGACAGTACAGAACAACTGCTCTCATCAAAAACTAAAATTCAGATGGGCAGAAAAACTTCTGCTCCACTTCTGACCAGCATTCTTACTGTGATGTTCACTCTGTCACCCCGAGCGACTGGGTTCGCCAAAATATTAGCAGGTTATGGTGACGAAAAGCAGCTGAAAGTTTCACTTTTCAGTCTGACTTTGACTTGTGAGGGTTCAGCTAGCATGTAGCATGTAGCATGTAGCGGTCAAAACGCTACTCCACCAAAGTGTCCCAGACCCAGAAAGTCTCATCATGAGGTGGATAAGAGAAGTTAACATATCCAGAGCAGCCATCTCTCCTTCACTTGGCTCAGACACTGGGAAGAAAAAGGTTTAGCTGCAGGTTTTTAAAGCTCAGAGGAGGAACGTTTGGAGAGCAGCTAGAGATTTAACGATGGAAGGAAGACCTGAACTGAGTCAGACACCATTAAATCTCCTTTTCATGGAAGCAGCACATTAAGTATGAAACCATTGAACGCTACGCGACGCGTCCCGCACCGCGTCGGATTAGCAAACAGCATCAGGTCAAAGGTCAACGTGATTCTCTCTCTGTCTCACCGTCTCTGAGGAAAATTCACATCAACGTTTCTGCTGTTGCTTCACTTCCTGTCCCGATTCATTTGCACATGTTCATCTGGTTAGAGCCGCAAATAAATAACAGATTTTTGACACGACATCGTTAAGTAAAGCGAAACGTTTTCCCCTCCCCCAGGAATGTCGTCTTTCCATTAACAGACTGGATGCCATGCTGTGGAAACCAGAACTGATCCAGATTACTGGGTTCTGGGGAGTTTCTTCAAACATGTTTTTATTTGTAGTTCATCTGGACTGAACCAACCCAGAGAAGATGATGACAGATGAGAACCAGGCAGGTTCTGGTGGTGAATAAACTCGTCTTGAACTTCCTGCGGTTCAGCTGGTCCAGTTGACTTTGTGTCCAGGAAGGAGAGTTGAAGCCAGCGTGTCTCGGAGTGAACGCTGCCCTGCTGATGCTTCGTGTTTGTGGGTCGGAGCTGCTGCTCTGATTATGCAACAGCAAACATTTTGTTCCAGATGTGCTGAATGTGGGACGCTGTCAGACGAGAAGGAGCTCCAGCTGTTAGAGCAGAGCAGGAAGAAAACCTCCGTAGAAAAACACAAACAGATTCTCCGTCTATCAAACTCTGAGGCAAACAGAAACGCTCAGACGCTCAGTTCCTCCAGAAGAGATTCTCATCTTCATGGATGTTCATGAACACGCTGGAGGAAGATTCATGTGCAGCTTCCTGAAGCTTCAGATGAAAGTTAAAGTTGAGCAGCAGAAACTTTGAGGCGTAAACGAACCGCAGCTTGAACCCATTTCCCAGGAAACCAAAAACAAGTCAGAGGTTCTGTTCTTCATTTGGGTCGGGACCAAAAGATAACAGAGATGATTTACTTGTATTTGTAACTTCATATCTCTGCTGAATAAAAGTATTGACGCTTCCTTCCAAATCAGATTTCTGATGAATTTGAGCTTTTAGATGGAAAATATTTAATTTTTGAGAAACAGAGAATGTTTGAGTTAAATGACAAAGTAAAACAGTTTTCAGGTTTTCTTGTTTTCAAAGGGAGAAATGATGCAGAGCAGCAAAATAAAAACTAGGAAGTTTAAAAAATGACTTAAGCATTAAGTATCATTTCACCCTAAAACATCTGGAAGACACAAGAGACGTAAAGTTACTTTCTGCTGAAGCCTTTTCACCGTCAACAACTGAATGACTGAGGATCTTCACCAGGGAGTCACAAGGAGAAAGAAGGAGCAGAAGCAGAGCTGAGTGGATTGGGAAGAAGTTCTGATCAGGAGGAAAACAGACAGAACATCTGGTTCTGTTCGTCTGAAGCTCTGAGAGCGACGGGGAGCCGATCATCCGCTGGAGCGTTTACCGACAGCGCAGAGGAGAAAGACGCTGAAAACCCAACGAACCGCTGATGGATCGGCTGCATCACAGGTTCTACAACAAACGGACTTTAGAGATAATGAGTCCATCTGTGACAACATCATAAAATCATAAATACTTGGATCGAAGCCTTATTGATCGTTTTGGGATGAAAGAACTAAAACTTTGACTGTTGTAAGGGTCTGAGTTCTGACCCAGTGCTGGTTCTGTTTCCTGGATTCACCAGAAATCCAGTTTAAAACAGCAGCAGAAGCCTTAATGTTTTAGGAATTATTATTCATACATGAACGCTGATATTAAAGTTAAACTGCTGAGTAAAACTGAATGAATCCATTAGATGGACGGTTTATTCAAAGACTCTGTGACCAAACAGCAGATCTTGTTCTAACTTCATGATTTCACTGCACAATATGAATATTCATATTCAATAATGAAATATGAATCACCAGAGCATTCAGCCTGATTCCTGCTCCAGTTGGTTCTGGGCAGCGACCCGACCCGGCCGACCCGGCAGCAGAGAGCTGAAACCAGAGGAGGCCGTCCGGTCCGGTCCGGTCTGGTCCGGTCCGGTATGGGCACGGAGCCGCTCGCCGTGTAAAAGCAGAGCTGCAGGAATGTGCAGAATGTGCAGCACCTGATTTAACATGCAGGGATTTTATCCGACAACTCAGTAAATCACAGCCACCTGGGAACCTGAGCATGGAGACCCAGAGAACCCCAACAGAACCAGAACCAGGTTCTGGTTTGGAACCAGAACCATGGAACCAGAGACTGAGCTGCTTCCCGTCCAGCTGAGGAAAGTTAAACGATAAAACTGGCAGGATGATAATTATTAATAATTATTAATGATTAATTATAGTTTATGTTGCTCATAACGACTTTAGGACAAATAACCCAGCAGGACCCGACCGAGTCCAGAGCGCACACACACACACACACACACACACACACACACACACACACACACACACACACACACACACACACACACACACACACACACACACACACACACCACTAGGGAGAATGTGGAGAGACCAGTTAACCTGACCAAACTCCCACAGTGTTTTTGCTCTGTGGGTTGAACCCATCATGCACTCTGTGCAGAAAGACCCCGGGCCGGGAATCGAACCCAGGACCTTCTTGCTGCAAGGCAACAGTGTTACCAATTTTTTTTTTTTTATTGATACATGTTTCTTATATTTATTAATAATATATTTATGTTTTGTCCAATTGGTTTTGTTTTTTGACTTTTAGTTTCTGAAGTGAAAGTGAATTCTTTATAAACTTGTTCCACTTCCTGTTCCCCTCCATCACTTTCTGTTCCACTCCATTACTTCCTGTTCCACTTCCTGTTCCCCCCGTCACTTCCTGTTCCACTCCATTACTTCCTGTTTCACTTCCTGTTCCCCTCCATCACTTCCTGTTTCACTCCATCACTTCCTGTTCCACTCCAGCACTTTCTGTTCCACTTCCTGTTCCCCTCCATCACTTCCTGTTCCACTTCCTGTTCCCCTCCATTACTTCCTGTTCCACTTCCTGTTCCCCCCGTCACTTCCTGTTCCACTCCATTACTTCCTGTTTCACTTCCTGTTCCCCTCCATCACTTCCTGTTTCACTCCATCACTTCCTGTTCCCCTCCATCACTTCCTGTTCCACTTCCTGTTCCCCTCCATCACTTCCTGTTCCACTTCCTGTTCCCCTCCATCACTTCACAAGGCTGAGGAGGACGGTTCTCTACGTCTCCATAGCAACCACTGGGCTCCATCAGCAGACCAACTGGTTGTCAGGGTGATCCCAGTAGAAACCAGTTTCCTGCTGGTTTTCTACTGGGATCTTTAAAACCAGCATGAAGGACCAACATGAGGAATTCAACACGGTGGAGGGTCTGTGGTGCTGCGGGTCTGGAAGCCTGTCAGATGACATCATGACCTGCCAGAAGGATCGGTGACCTTTGACCCGGAGTCTGGACCGGCTGCAGGGCGGACGGGTCCGATACGGGAATCCTGTGCTGCCGAAACTTTCACTGATTATTTTCTCTGACAAACTAAAATTAATATTTGAACAATAAGAAAAAAAATCACATTTTCTGACATATTTGACATGTGAGGAACTAAACCAATGAAAACATCCAGAACCAGCACCGGGTCAGAACTCGGACCCGACCAGGAGGCAGAACCAGCAGCACAACAGAACCTGGTTCCTGCAGAACCCGGTTCCTGCAGAACCCGGTTCCTGCAGAACATCCAGCAGGAACAGGAGGATCAGCACCGCTGTTGTCATGACAACGTCCCAGTCTGGGTCCTCAGTGGTCCAGATGGTCCAGATGGTCCAGCTGCAGCGGATCAGAACCATCAGAACCGACCTGAACCATCTGGAGTTCTGCAGCTGACCGAGAACAGAATGAATGGACCGGATTAATAATCCAGATGTTCTGTTCTGGATCAGCTGCAGGTCCAACAGAACCATCCAGCTGCTGCTTGTTTCTAACTTCCATTAAAACCTGGGAAAGGTTCTGGTTCGGTCCGGCAGACCCGGTCCAGTCTCTGCTCCGCTGTGGGAAGCTTTGGTCCCAGTTCATGGAGCGGATCTGGATAATTCCTGGAAAAGCAGCGGGTCCAGTTCAGAACAAAGCTCAGAGTTCCGATGGTCTCCTGAAGGCCTCATCTAATCTCAGAACCCTCTGGTCCGGTCGGGTTCGGGAGGTTCGGAACTTTTTACCTGTTTTCCGCTGTTTCTCTCCGGGTCCAACGCAGCAGCTTCACAGCTTCTCCCCGGCTCGGTTCGGTTCGGCTCGGTTCGGGTTCCCTCACTGGGTCATGGTGGGGGAGTCGATCCGTCTCTTCAACTCCCGGCGACTTTCCGAAAAACTCCTGATCTGAGCAGATTCGGCTTGTTTCGGAACAATCCGTCCGGATCCAGAAAATCCGATCAGATCCGAAGACAAAAAAAGTTTCTGTGTTTTTACATCACATCCCGTTTCCGAACCGGAGGAGGAGGAGGAAGAGGAAGAGGAGGGAACATGAGGAAGAGGAGGATGAGGAAGAGGAGGGAACATGAGGAAGAGGAGGAGGAGGAGGAAGAAGAGGAGGAAGAGGAGGAGGAGGAGGAGGAAGAGGAGGAGGAGGAGGAAGAAGAGGAGGAAGAGGAGGAAGGCAACATGAGCCTCTGACTCTCTGACATGTGAGAAGTTCTGCAGGAGCCTGAACTACGGAGGGAGAGAGGGACATTTCCATCCCTTCCTCCCGGTTCTGGTTCTGGTTCTGGTTCTGGGATTCAACCAAACGGTGAACATTTTTCGGCTCCCTTCATAAGTTCTTTTCTTTTCTTTTTCTTTCTTGTAAACAAAAATCAAATAAAATGATATTTTTGTTTTCTTGTTCTTGGGAAATAAACCCGTCTGAGCCCAGAGGTCTTCATCGTGAGGGTGGCGCCCTCTAGGCGTGTCGCGGAGGTACTGCAAAACATCTGTTCAAAGTGTTCATGGCAGCATTGATCCATTCAAACTGAAGCTGAAAATAAAAATAGCAATAAAGAATCTACAGGATGATGGAGAAGTTCTGCAGGTTCTTTGGATCCTTGTTCATTTGGAAACATGCAAACTGCATTAATGCATAAAGGTTTTCAGATACATAAATTCAAATCTTATGAATCGTTTTAAAACCTCAACAGTATAATAATGTAAATATCAGAACAGATACCGACCTGCTCAATGAAGCAGCATTTCACCGAAGCAATGAGGCTTTAATTAACTCTTAATTTTCTTTGCCATAATTCAGTAAATAAACAAATATTAATAATAATTCAGCAGCTCCTGGTTTCTTTGAGCCAAACAGCAGCGATTCATTTTAATGGGTTTAAATTCATCAAGTTTTTTCTGAACAACAAAAGAAAACAAAGATAAATAAGTTTTTTTCACTCAAACTTTATAAAAAAGTTTGATTCGGTGAATTTAATCTAAAATATGTTATGAATCAAGACTGATATCAAAGGAAATGTCTGCAGATGAGGTTGAACTTTTTAAACATTTCTGAGCTGAATTTAGCGTCTCACTGGTGGATTAAAGAAACTTTGTTTTCCTGAAATGTAAATATTTCACTCAAAATATTATTTTCTTTTAACACTCATTAAGAAAACCTGTGGAAAAAAGCAATAAATATTTTCTGTAGAAGTCTCACATGCAGACGGAGAAACAGGTTTTTATTGATGCAGTTAGAAGTGAAGGTCAGTTTCACCTTCCAGTTTTAGTTCTGTTTTATTTCCTCTTCAGACTCTCACTGTTTAATCACGTTTGTGTTTCAGGTCTCCTTCTCTCTCTTCTCCACCAGGGGGCAGCGTTGCATTATCTTTAGCCCTCCATTCTTCCTCTGCCGGTCTGGTTTACGCCTCTTCACGCGTCACTTCCTTCCTGCAGGGACGACAGCGGAGAGCGGGGTTGTCCTCAGACTGATGACGCACACACACACACACACACACACACACACACACACACACAACACACACACACACACACACACACACACAACACACACACACACACACACACACACACACACACACACACACACACACACTGAAGGGTCGCTGCCCCAACATGTCCATGTTCCCCCAACAAACATGGCGCCTCATGGCGACTCGGCCCGCTGCTGCGATACGTCACAGCGCCGCCATATTGAGAGTGGCATCTGATCCGGTGAGATGATGCAAGTAAATGGGCCGAACTTCACAAAGTTCTGTTCTACAAAGTATTTTAAGTTGCTGCCTGTCATGGACACATTGTTTCTCTCACATTTATATATTTGGTCATCAAAGAAAACAGTAAAGACAGTTTCTCACTTTTAATGTGATTATTTAATAGTTTGAATAAAGAGCACAATGTTTTTATTTGATAGAAATTATTCTGGTAAATAGTTTTTATATTAACATCGATGAACAGACACACACTTTTACAAGGACATATTAACATGATTCCATAATTTAATGTACATTTTATATTTCAATGTAATTTCCTTTTATTTTTGGACATTTCATTGTAAAGACAATAAACTTTGATTGTAAAATATTGGCTACATTTTTGTCTTTTACTTTTTTCCATAGAAACATATTACATAAACTCTGGTCTTTATTAAATTATTTTTATTTCATTACATAAACTCTTAATAAACTGACGCTTCAGACTGAGAGATTTCTCTTTAAAATACACAAAAAGTGAAAGAATAAAAGTGCGATAAAAACATTTATGTATTTATATTATACTACAGTTTCCTTGAGGGAAAATCCCAAAGGAATGAATATAGTTTCTGTCTATACTGGGAACACTGGTCACAGTCCAGTCTGCTATTCACACTTGGATAAATCCATTAAGGCTGCGGATGGTTGCAAATCAGATCAAACCATTGATGACAAATGGACCCACCAGAACCTGAAGTCCAATAAATCCAGACTGATCCAGGTCAGCACTTTGGACCACGACCGGACCGTTAGTAATCAGGTTGTTTTGAGTTACTGTCTGCATTAAGTCCATATAGAACTGTGACCCGGTTTCAAACTGTGGACAGAACCAGAGAGAGGAGAACATGCAGTCTGGCGAAAGGGGCGGAGCTTGGAGGCTTAATCAGGTGACCAGCCAAGTGGAGCACATGAAACAGTTGAACTGGGAGCTGGACCAGTTCAGCTGAGGACGTCTGCTGATCCTGGACCAGAACGAATCATGAAGACATGAAGATCATCAGTGAAACTGAATCCGATCTGCTGGGATGAAACATGAATTTATGGGGATAAAATCACTAAAAATAAAGGAGGTGAGAGGATGCAGATAAAGTCTTTCAGAAGAAGATGAAGACGAGTTCATCAACTTGTGGATCCAAAGTTTATGAAGAATTTCTGCTTTTAGAAGGAATGAGTCAGTCTACAAAGAAATGCACTTTTTAATAAAGTTATTTAAAAAACTTTTACCCCCATAATTACAAATAGAAAAATAAAAATTCTCCATTTGCATCAAACACCACTGAGGTTCTGGAGACCAAATTTGCATCTCTGTGGACCACAAATGGCCCCCTGACCGCACTTTGGACATCCCTGTTATAGATGATGGAAACTCTACAGACTCAGCGACAGCAGGAAGCGTTAACCTGCTGCAGCATCTTTCTGCTGCAGCGTCTTTCTGCTGCAGCGTCTCTCTGCTGCAGCGTCTCTCTGCTGCAGCGTCTCTCTGCTGCAGCGTCTCTCTGCTGCAGCGTCTCTCTGCTGCAGCGTCTCTCTGCTGCAGCGTCTCTCTGCTGCAGCGTCTCTCTGCTGCAGCCTCCTCTTCCTCCCAGGCCAAACGGCTCTCAGCCTCAGACCTTCATCGTCCTTCGGCAGTTTGTGGATGTGTTTATGGTCCTAGTCAAAGTTTCCCCTGTGACGTGTCTGGATGGTGGCGCAGACTGCAGCAGAATGAGAGGAGCTGAGGAGCTGCTGTTATCCAACAGATGGCGCCGGTCCAAACGGCTGACACTCTTCATGTCCTGGTTTCTGTCTGACTCACAAAGACACGATTCACAGTGGAAACACAACAAACGATGTTTCAGAGAGGAAACGGAAACAAGCTCCAGTTTGCTGCTGGACATGAGACAGAGCCGCTGGTCTGAAGTGGACCAGTGAGTCCGAAGCATCCAGAACCGGCCGGCCTCCCACTCAGGCCCATTCAGCTGCGTGACCTCAGTTCTTCCATTACGTCTGAACAGAAGAAGCTCCGCTCTCACCTCATTGTGCTGTTGGGCCCCCGATCCGGGCCAAGCCGGGTCAGGCTGCAGTCTGCACGCTCCAAACCGCCAACAGCTTCAGAAAAATGTGTCACCATCATCAGGAAACTAATTTAGCTGCAGAGAAACTTTAGTTTCAACCAAATAAATGTTTATAGTAATTGAAGTTTCTGATTAATGTCATTTTACAATCTGAAGGCGTTCATCAATAACTGGAGACTGAATATGAGAGATGATGATAAAAAATCAAACAATGTGGCAGAAAAGCAGAACATCTAGAAACATAAATGTATAACGAGCAGCGAGGCGGCGAATCGACCTGATGAAACAACAACAGCTTCAGGTTTTTAAACATCTGGAGGTCAGGCTTCCTTCATGAACACTGGGCCAGAACCAGACCAGAACCAGGCCAGAACCAGACCAGATCCAGACCAGAACCAGGCCAGAACCAGGCCAGAACCAGGCCAGAACCAGACCAGAACCAGACCAGAACCAGACCAGAACCAGACTAGAACCAGACCAGAACCAGGCCAGAACCAGACCAGAACCAGGCCAGAACCAGACCAGAACCAGACTAGAACCAGACCAGAACCAGACCAGAACCAGGCCAGAACCAGACCAGAACCAGACCAGAACCAGGCCAGAACCAGACCAGAACCAGGCCAGAACCAGTCCTGAACCAGACCAGAACCAGACCAGAACCAGACTAGAACCAGACCAGAACCAGGCCAGAACCAGACCAGAACCAGACCAGAACCAGGCCAGAACCAGACCAGAACCAGACCAGAACCAGACCAGAAACCAGGCCAGAACCAGTCCAGAACCAGACCAGAACCAGACCAGAAACCAGACCAGAACCAGTCCTGAACCAGACCAGAACCAGACCAGAACCAGGCCAGAACCAGTCCAGAACCAGACCAGAACCAGACCAGAACCAGACCAGAACCAGGCCAGAACCAGACCAGAACCAGACCAGAACCAGACCAGAACCAGGCCAGAACCAGACCAGAACCAGGCCAGAACCAGTCCTGAACCAGACCAGAACCAGACCAGAACCAGACCAGAACCAGGCCAGAACCAGACCAGAACCAGACCAGAACCAGGCCAGAACCAGGCCAGAACCAGACCAGAACCAGACCAGAACCAGGCCAGAACCAGACCAGAACCAGACCAGAACCAGACCAGAACCAGACCAGAACCCAGGACCTGGATGCTCCCACTGATCCACTGGTTCCCAGTGAAGACATGAAGGCAGCCGCTGCAGTGATGTAACTGAGCAGCGGCGCCGACTTCATGGACCTTCTACGGTTCTGTTCGGAGC